ATATACTTATAACAAAAAGTGAACGATTCGTTAACACAAACGCAATGTTAACACATACGATAAAGTCGAAGGTAACAATAAAACTTTCAAGACATAAAAAGTACACAACATTTTCATAACTGAAACAAAAAGTTATTAAAAGAGTGCGAATAAAATAAAACAATTACAACATTGGCATTAAAACATTGCAAAATTCTCACAACATAAAGCAACATCCACATAACTCTGCACTCTACTCCACTGAAATGTCAACAAACCATTCTGTGCACAGAAAGCAATCCCAAATAAATGATAAATCTTCGTTAGCTTTAATCAGCTCCGACCCATCGCACCTGATCACTCGTGTCAACTGCTCACATTACTATTGATCCATTTGTTCACGTTCATCTTCACTGTCCCTACGCCCTAAAAAATTGAAACTCTTCAACAAATGCACTGTCTACAGAACTGCTCCAATGCAAAACCTCATACTCAGTCAGCATATTGCTTTTCAAATTTCACACGACATTTCATTGAACAAAGTGCACCGAAAATTGACGAACATGAAAAACTCAAGTGATTTCAAATCCATTGAATATTCAATGAAGTTATTCATATCTGTTTATCATTCATATATTCACTGAATCACATCAAGCAATACCGCTTCATTCAGAACTGCTTCACTTCACTGATTGATGAAGCAATAAACTTAATAAACTACCAAAATGTCTCAACAAACCATTTTGAACATTCTCAAGAGCGTGTCGTTGACTATTGGCCATAATTCTTTGCAGTGTTGCCATTCCTTCTGCACTTAGTTCTGGCTCACCCTCAGAATCCATCGTATACCACTGACCGTCACCTTGACCCATTTGTTGTCCCATCAATTCCTCAGTACCGTCACCGCCATACTCTTCATAACCATCATCGAATTCCTCTAAGACTCACATCAATGAAATCAACAACCTCAGACAACAATCTCAGAAACTGAACACGGTAAATGTGATATTCAAAGATAGCATGGTCACAACTAATTGGAAATTCCAATGAACTGATAAAGCAACGATACACATCATACAATCAGACAATCTACAGCCTCTCAAACATCATTCCAATGTATTTGTTTCTCTGCTTTCGTATGGACAATAAAAACCAACCTGACAAGTCATCATCTTCATCTCGATTCAACGACTGACACTCACACATTTGTTGGTAAAGCTCCTGCACTGCAATATTAAACATACTTTCAACAAAACCATCTTGTTAAATCTTACAAACAATGATGGAATTCTAAAGAACACTTCATACATCCGAATCACAATTTCAACTTAAATGCGATAACAATTTCGCGCAACTCACAAACGGATTCATCACTAGGCACGAATCTGATGGCCACTTCTGTGACTGCCTCGTCGTCGTCTTGTTCTTCTGAGGCTCCTGCTTCAACGGTACCACTTGCTGCACAACCGTTCCCTGACGATTCACTTGCTGCCGTCTGCAGGTTCAAATCTGTAACAGAGAAGAATAACTGTTGAAAATGACGAAAACAGACAGTCTCAAGTAGCAATATAAACAGGAAACGCAGAGTGCAT